CCGTCGTCCGATCCAGGGAAGCGACTGAAGGTCGCAAGATCTGTGCGTATCGTAGGGATGGACGAGTCACCCCCTCCTCCAATATCGCGCCTGCCGCTCTCAGGCCCCTGGAAGCGACCGGGCGCAGCGTCAGCGTCGAAATGCGCGCCAAGGCCTGAGGGCCCGTCTTCCATGCTCAATTCGCGGCGGAGGGCTGCTTCACTCGGCGCAATCGCGTCCAGAAGGGGGTGCTCGGCGGAGTGAGGGCACAAGCCTCTGTGAAGCGCGTCGGGGCCAAGGGCAGGCGTCTGCCCGTCTCCCCCCCCCCCCGAGGCCCTCGCAAGCGCCTCCTGGGGGTGTCGGATCCCTAGTCTCCCCCTCCACGTCGCAGAGGTCCCTGTGTCGAAGGCCGAGGGCACCTCTCTGCCCCTCGTCAGACTGCCTAAGAGGACCAGGAGCCGTGGGGGGATTAGCTGTTTCAGGAGTGGGGCCGTTGGCCCCCGTAAACCTGGCATCGCCGTGGGCGATCCCACTCAGCCCCGCGCCGCCTGGAGAGAAAGAGATTGGGCGCCCAGCAATGGGCATGGGATGGGTAGGGGTGAGAGAGGGGGGGATGAGCTAGGCGGGAGGGCATCATGCCTGCCATTATCACATCCAGGGAAGCGACTGAAGGCCGCAATCTCAGTGTGCATCGGGGGGCTGACCGCATCAACCCCTCCTACCGCTTCGTGCCTGCCGCGCTCAAATCCAGGGAAGCGACTGAAGGTCGCAATATCAGTGCGCATCGCAGGGTTGAGAGACTCAACCCCTCCTCCCGTTTGGCTGAAGGCCAACGGTCCTCGTGCGCATGAGGCATCGGCAGAAGCGTTCCCACTCCAGGGAGCAGGGGGCGACGGCTGCCCTGGCGGGATAGCGCCCTGAGATCTAGGGCGAGGATGTCCTGAGTCAGCCAGTCCACAGGCCCCAAGGTCGACGACTGGTGACGCGGCCCTCGTCGCCACAGGGATGGCAGGATCATCGCCGATCGATCGCCCGTCCATGCTAAGCCGGAGAGCCGCACACGTAGCCGAAGACGAAGAACCCAAGGAGTCTGCAATGGCGACCCGGCCCCGGGGGAGACGCGCGGCAAAAGACTCCGAAGGGAACCCCCATTGAGCTGGGAGACCCGGCCGAGGGACCGGGGCCCAGAAACAGCTTGAGCCAATTGGGCTACGGTTGGTGGGGGTACGCGAAGCGTCAAGAATACTACACCAAACCAGGATCAGCTGTAGTAGTAGTAGTAGAAGAAGAAGAAGTAATAGTAGTAGCAGCAGCAGCAGCAGTAGTAGTAGTAGCAGTAGTAGTAGTAGTAGTAACAGTAGTAGTAGTAGTAGTAGTAGTAGTAGTAGTAGTAGTAGTAGTAGTAGTAGTAATAGTGGTAATAGTAGCAGTAGTAGTAGTAGTAGTAGTAGTAGTAGTAGTAATAGTATTAGTAGTAGTAGTAGTAGTCGTAGTAGTAGTAGTAATAGTAGTAGTAGTAGCAGTAGTAGTAGTAGTAGTAGTAACAGTAGTAGTAGGAGAAGAAGTAGTAGAAATAGTAGTACTAGTAGTAGTAATAGTGGTAGTAGTAGTAGTAGTAGTAGTAGTAGTAGTGATAGTTGTAGAAGAAGAGGGAGCGGTAGTAGTAGTGGTAGTAGAAGAAGAGAAAGTGGTAGTAAACCTGGTCGTGGTCGTAGTAGATTAGTCGTGGAGTAGTACTAGCAATAGAAGAAGTAATAGTAGTAGTGGTAGTAGTAGTAGTAGCAGCAGTCGCCGTAGTCGCAATAGTAGTTGTAGCTAGGATAGCAATAGTAGTCGCCGCAGTGGTATTAATATGACTAGTCGCCGCAAAAGGTGTACTACATGTAGTACTTGTACTACGATTACGAATACTACTACTAGCAACACGAATGGCAACAATAGTTTGGAGTAGTCGTTGCAGTAATACTAGCTGTAGTGGTAGCAGTATAAATCGCAGCAGAAAACGCAAGACATATATGTAGCAGTAGCAATAGACGTAGTTGTGGCCGAATATGGGTGGTACTGTCAATAGTGGAAGCACCAAACATAGTTCTAGTAGTAATAGCGGCGATGGTCGTAGAGGTAACAGTAGTCGTAGTGGCGGTAGTAGCAGTAGCACTGGCAGGCGTAATGTTAGGGGTTGTAGTAGCAGTAGTAGTCGCACTAGTAACACAAGTCGCAGCAATAAGATTACTCGCAATCGTGTAGAAATACAAATGGCAATGCTAGTCGTAATCGTCATCATACTCGTAACCTTCGCAGTCGTAGCAACAGTTCTCGTAGTAGCCGTAGCAAGGATAATCGTAGTACTGGTAGAAGTAGAAGTACTACACGTAGTAGTACTCGTACTCGTACTCAGAATACTCAAGAATAGTGGTAACAGTCGCAGTCGTAGTAGTAGTCGTAGTAGTAGCAGTAGTAGTAGTAAACATAATAGTAGTAGTAGTAGTAGTAGTAGTAGTAGTAGTAGTAGTAGTAGTAGTAGTAATAGGAATGCTGATCGGAGTCGAAGTCGTAGTGGTAGTGGTAGTAGTAGTAGTAGTAGTAGTAGTAGTAGTAGTAGTAGTAGTAGTAGTAGTAGTAGTAGTACTAGTAGTAGTAGTACTAGTAGTAGTAATAGTAGTAGTAGCAGTAAAAGTAGTAATAGTGGTAGTAGTAGTAGTAGTAGTAGTAGTAGTAGTAGTAGTAGTAGTAGTAGCAGTAGTAGTAGTAGCGGTACTAATAGTAACAGTACTACTGGTGGTCGTGGTAGTCGCAGTAACAACAGTACTGGGAGTTGAAGTGGTCGCAGTCTTTAGTGCTAGTAGTAGCAATCGTAGCATTAGTCGTAGTAGTCGTCGCCGCCGTCGTCAACATAGTAATGGTCGTATCAGCGATAGTAGAAGCAGCAGCAGCAGCAGCAGCAGCAGCAGCAGCAGCAGTAGTAGTAGTAGTAGTAGTAGTAGTAGTAGTAGTAGTAGTAGTAGTAGTAGTAGTAGTAGTAGTAGTAGTAGTAGTAGTAGTAGTAGTAGTAGTAGTAGTAGTAGTAGTAGTAGTAGTAGTAGTAGTAGTAGTAGTAGTAGTAGTAGTAGTAGTAGTAGTAGTAGTAGTAGTAGTAGTAGTAGTAGTAGTAGTAGTAGCAGCATTAGTAATAGTAGTAGTAGTAGTAATAGTAGTAAAAGTAGTAGTAGTCGCAGCATTGGCAGTGGTAGTGGTAGTAGTGGTAGTAGTAACAGTAGTAGTGGTAGTCGTAGTAGTAGTGGAAGTAATAGTAGTAGTAGTAGTAGTAGTAGTAGTAGTAATCGTAGTAGTAGTAGTAGTAGTAGTAAGTGTAGTAGTAGTAGTAGTAGTAGTAGTAGTAGTAGTGGTAGTCGTCGTAATCGTAGTAGTTGTAGTAGTAGTAGTAGCAGTAGCAGCAGTAGCAGTAGTAGTAGTAGTAGTAGTAGTAGTAGTAGTAGTAACAGTAGTAGTAGTAGTAGTAGTAGTAGTAGTAGTAATAGTAATAATAGTAGTAGTAGTAGTAGTAGTAGTAGTGGTGATAGTAGTAGTAGTAGTAGTAGTAGTAGTAGTAGTAGCCAGTGTCACACTAGCAATGGCACGTATTACTCGCCGGGGTGTGGACGATGATAAACGCACTGGAAATCGCGTTCCCACTAACAGTACTAGTAAAAATAGTCGTACTGGTGATAACGTTAATCGTGGTAGAAGTAGCAGCAGCTGTAGCCCAACAGTAGTGGCAACGGTAAATCAAACGAAAACCATAACCGTTATTGGAATCGGGAATGCTGCCGGAATATCACTACTGAGAAGAATCCGTTTTCGGCATAACCGAAGTAATCGTAGCAGAAACACGAGCAAGAGTACGGATGTTGATGCCAGAACCAGTAGCAGGCGTAGTATTACGAGTAGTAAGTAGGCGCACTAGTAGTAGTAGTAGTGGTAGTAATACTAAACAGACAGTAGTAACTAGTAGCGGTAGTAGTAGTGGTAGTAGTAATATCATAGTAGTAGTAGCAGGAGTAGTAGCAGCATGTGTAGTAGTAGTAGCAGTAGTAGTAGTAGTAGTAGTAGTAGAAATAGTGGAAGTAGTAGTAGAAGTAGTAATAGCAGCAGTAGTCGTAGTAGTGGTAGTAGCAACTGGAATCATCATTGCAGTACTATGTCGGTGTAGTAATACTAGTAGTAGTAGTAGTAGTAGTAGTAGTAGTAGTAGTAGTAGTAGTAGTAGTAGTAGTAGTAGTAATAGTAGTAGTTTTAGTAGTAGTAGTAGTAGTAGTAGTCGTAGTAGTAGTAATAGTAATAGTAGTAGTGGTAATAATAGTAGTAGTAGTAGTAGTAGTAGTAGTCGTAGTAGTAGTGGTAGTAGAAGTAGTAGTAGTCATAGTAGTAGTAGTAGTAGTAGTAGTAGTAGTAAAAGCAGTAGCAGCACCAGTAGTAGTAGTAGTAGTAGTAGTAGTAATAGTAGTAGTAGTAGTAGTAGTAGTAGTGGTAGTAGTAGTGGTAGTAGTAGTAGTAGTAGTAGTAGTAGTAGTAGTAATAGTAGTAGCAATAGTAGTAACAGTCGTCGCGCTAGGTGAAATAAAAATAATAGTAATAGTACTAATGGTACCACTACGGCTACCACTGCTAGCAACACACATCGAACTGATAATTCGAATAATAATTGCGAAACGAAGCGCCGGAGTCGCGCGCTTTCCTCTCGGGAGCCCGCCCGTGCCCATTATGGCACGGCGTGGAGGCCGTGGCCTCGGAAATGTCAGCTCTGCACCTGCCCGTCGCTTCGGCCAGGCGCACCTGCCGAGAAGCGACTCACGTGACCTGGTCCATGACTTTGTGGGGCTTATAAAACTTGGTCATCGTTCTGCCCTCGAAATGCCAAGGGCCATTCGGGTGCCTCCTCTCTCGCCTGCTCGCTCCCGTCTTCCGTGGCATGGCTCTCCTTCTTGTCGTTTTCGTCGCGCTCCTCCTTCTCCGCGCAATTGCTCGCACCCTCCGTATGCACGTTATTGTCCTCTTTCTTCTCCTGCTCGTCCTCCTTGTTCTCCTCCTTGGCGTCGCCGTCGAAGCCGTTCGCGGGATGTTCGGGAACTCTCGAACAGGCAGAAGTTCCGCTGATGACTTGTCTGTCGCGCCGGGATCGTTATTCTCCATGCTGCCTGTGCCGGGCACCCCGAGATCATCGCTGAAACCACCCTCCTCTTCGCAAGTGTCGAACAAACGCTTGGGCTGCAAGCGTCCGGTACCCGAATCATGCGCGGAAAAGCTTGAACTCCCTCTCTCAGTATCTTCTCCGGCGACGTTTCCAAGTCGTTCAACATGTTCTGGTCGGTCACCTTGAAGCCGCGGACGGCCTCGACTTTCTGATCGATGGCTCTGAAATCGGCGAAGGACGCCCGGAACAACAACATCTCCATCCGCTCGATCCGTATGCTGGAATTGTGCGCCGCTTCGCCGATATATTTCAGCTCGGTCTTGTACGCGTAAGGTTTGTCGTTGGTGGTACATTGCTTGAGTGCCGTGCAGACGTTCTGGAGCTTGTCTGTGAGACTCTTGATCGAGACCTCCATTTGCGTTAATCGTTCGCTGCTGTTGCTCATGTCCCTTTCCCACGGCTGCTTGGCGCCGCTCTCTCCGAACAAGCCATGCGCTCGGAACGTTGGGGGCAGCCGGCATGAGAATATCTGCGAGGAGGGAGACTGTGAAACTGCGCGAGGCTGTGCGATCCGGGCGAACCGCTATGCTTGCTGTGCCTTGAACCAAATCAGAAAAGCTGCGCTTTGAGTCGTAGTTGCAATAGTAGTGATAGCAGCCGTAGCAGTAGAAATAACAAAGCTGTGGCCGTAGAAATATTAGTGGCACTAGTAGCCGTAAGAGTAATAGTAGTCGTCGAAATAGTAGTCATCGTAGTGGTGGTCGTAGTTAAAGCAGTAGTCGTAATGGTAGTAGTCTCGGTACTAATCGTCGCGTACTAGTAACACAAGTTGTAGAAATAGTTGGAGTAGTCATCGTACGAATAGTACTTGGTGGCAATATGGTCAACGCTATTAATCGCACTCGTGCGGGAATGAAAGCCGCAGTGCTGGCCGTAATCGTGATCGTAGTCGTAGCAATCGTAGTCGTAGTCCCAGCGGTACTCGTCGTACCCGTAGTAAGGGAAATTGAAATAGTAGTAGTAGTAGTAGTAGTAGTAGTAGTAGTAGAAAGAAAAAGAGTAGTAGTCGTACTGCTCGTAATACTAGTAGTAGTAGTAGTAGTAGTAGCAGTAGTAGTAGTAGTAGTAGTAGTAGTAGCCAGAGCAGTAGTAAATGCAGTAGTAGTAGTAGTAGTGATGGTGGCAGTAGTAGTAGTAGTAGTAGTAGTAGTAGTAGCAGTAGTAGCAGTCGTAATCATAGTAGTAATAGTCGTAGTAGTCGTAGTAGTAGTAGTAGTAGTAGTAGTAGTAGTAGTATGAATAGTACTTGTAGTCTAGTCGTCGTCGTCAAAATAGTAATGGTAATAGTAGCGGCAGTAATTGCAGTAGTAGTAGTAGTACTACTACTACTAGTCGTAATAGTTCGAGTCAAAGTAGCAGCACTAGTAGTCGTAGTAGTAGTAGTAGTAATAGTAGTAGTTGTAGTAGTAGTAGTCGTTGTAGTGGTAGTAGTAGTAGGTGGTCATAGTAGCTAGTTGTCGCATTAGGACTTGCACCAGTAATACTAAGCGCAGGGGTAAGGATGATGACAGTTGCACTGGTAAGCGCGGTCGTAGTAGCAGTAGTAGTTACAGTAGTTCTAGTGATAGCAGTAGTAGTAGTAGTAGTGGTAATGGTAGTGGTAGTAGTAGTAGTAGTAGTAGTAGTAGTAGTTACGGTGGTAGCAACGGCAGTAGCCCCAACAATAGTGTCATCAATCGTTCAAGCAATTACCATAACGGCAGTTGAAATCGGAAACCGGGTCGTATTATTTTTACTAATAGAATTCGTCTTCGGCGTAGCCGGCGTAATCGCAGCAGCAACACTCGCAAACATATAGTTGATGACATTATAAACAGTAGCACGCGCATTATTACTAGTGGTGGTAGAAGAAGCGCCATTAGCAATACTAGTAGTATTCAATAATCAACACTAACTAGCAAGTCGTGATAGCAGTAGCCGTAGTAGTCGTAGTAGTAGTAGTACTAGCATTAGTACTAGAACTAGTAGAAGTAACAACAGCGGTAATAGTAGTTGTAGTAGTAGTAGTAGTCGTAATGGTAGAAACAGAAGTCGTAGAGGTAGTAGATGTACAGTTAGTAAGAAAGTAGCGATCGTCGCCGTAGTGCCAACCATGGTTGGCAATGCAATGTTCGCGATAGTATCCAACATAAGAGTAACAGTAACAGTACCAGTCGTAGCCGTAGTAGCAGCCGTAGTAGTAGTAGCAATAGTGGTAGTAGTCGAAATAGTAGCCGTAGCTGTAGTAGTCGTAGAAATGGTAGTAATAGTAGTGGTAGAAATAATAAAAGAAACAGTAGCAGTAGAGGTCGTAGTATGAGTAGTAGTGGTCGTAGTCGTAGTAGTAGTCGTAGTCGTAACAGTAGTCGTCGTCGTCGTCGTAGTCGGAGTACGAGTGTTAGTAGGAGTAGTAGCAGCGGTAGTAGTAGTGGTAGTAGTAGTAGTAGTAGTACTAGTAGTAGTAGTAGTAGTAGTAGTAGAAGTAGTAGTAGTAGTAGTAGTAGTAGTAGTAGTAATAGTAGTAGTAGTACGAACGGTAGTAGTGATATTAGTGGTAGTGGTAGTAGTATCAGCAGTAGAGATCGTAGTAAAGGGAATAGAAAAAGTAGTAGTCGTAGTAGTCGTAGTCGTCGTAAAAGTAGTAGTAGTAGTAGTAGTAGTAGTAGTAGTAATAGTAGTAGTACCAGTAGTGATAGTAGTAGCTCGTTGTCGTCGTAGTATTAGCAGTGATTGTACGAGTAGCAGCAGCAGTAGTAGTAGTAATAGTAGTAGTAGTAGTAGTAGTAGTAGTAGTAGTAGTAGTAGTAGTAGTAGTAGTAAGAGTAGTAGTAGTAGTAGTAGTAGTAGTAGTAGTCGCAGTAGTAGCAGTCGTAGTCGTAGTAGCAATGGTAGTAGCAGTAGGAGTA